TTCGTTGCGATCGGTAATATGATGATAACAGGGTACTCACCAACCCGGTTACGGAACATGCTTGCCTCGTTGCGCCTTGAGGACAGTCGCATAGCAACATGTCGTGCAGGATCAAGGGGAATTGACAAAGACAAGAGAGACCAGTCTGGCCATTTATGGCTTACTAACCGGCACCAGCTAGCTATACTCAACCCGATGTTTGGAGCTCCCCGGGATTTGAGTTCAATGTCCGCTATAAGCTGCACAGGGTGGTCATCACCTGCTGAATGCTATTTATGCAGGCTGAACACCCTTGAACGCAGCCTTTTTCAGCTGTACATTTCTAATAACGAAGAGAAGAAGGGATAAAGTCTAATTGTACATGGACGTCGCAGTTGATATGATTATGGCGCCTCTATGCTGGCACAAAACGAACACTGAAATGAGGCATAAGAAGCAGGCTCACAGCAAAAGCCATGCGTTCGATAACATACACTATAAACAAGAGGCTGGTTAGGAGGGGTGATAACAGCTAAGATAAAGATCTGGAATGAAGAAAGTGAAGTGCAACCTTAACATGCGTCATCGCCACATGCACTCTGTCGGTCAAAATTAGCAGACTGGCGCAATTCTGTAACACAACATCTACTGAATTACCATCAGTAGAAAGTTCTGAATAGTTTGACTAGTTGGATTGTCAACCTTCTATAATAGTTTCCCAGCGAGGATGGCTGACAAAGCAGTTATCTTGACAGAAGATAGGAAGCTGATGGAATCCCTCTTGTATTTCAAAATTAGTAGCAACTTGAGACGCACAGCCGCGATTGCCTTTTAATACCTTGTATACAAGTATACCTGAATGAGGAGTATATTTTACAGTTTAGCTTTTTAATTCCCTGAGAAATTAATTTCTATTCGTGGTATATATCAGCATATTTGAGGACTATACGCGTAAACCGAAACTGTAAGTATATATTTGGGTTGAAATCCACCAACCATTGCGAAATGTCCACTTCCTGCCGCCAGACAAACTTTAGAAGTATAAATTGAAGCAGCGGCGGAATACCGGCGAAACACGTTAGTATGATAAGTTACAACATTAATTTATACTACTACAGTCAGTCAGTCGGTAAACGCCTTCTCTTATACGCGGGTTCAAATCCCGCCGAACGCCTCGAGTTTTTTTCACAACTGGGTCAACTCAAATAAAGCAAATCTGCCAAACCTCCTAATAAAGTCAGTCTGTCGGCAGGACGTGGATATTTCACAGTGGTTGGCGGGTTTCAACCCAAATATACACTTACAATTTCGGTCTACGCCTATAGAACTTCAATACACTGATATATACCTCGAACAGAAATTAATTTCTCAGGAGATTAGAAGCTGAACTTTCAGAACCGGTATATGAAGCCGAAAGCAGACAGGGAAAGCTATGGCACCCACTGATGAGCCGGACTCCTCGCAGCTCTGTAAAGCAGCGGCAGAATACCGGCGAAACACGTGTCTGGGCCATTTACCTAGTACTTAGGCTGTTAGTATGGTGAGTTACAATATCAGTAAACTTTACCTTACATTTCGGATTTTATTCGAGCGCGTCATCAGATGCAGTCACATTAATCAAGAACGATGGCTTTCTTATAATGGAAAGATCAGGCGCATGTAAATAGGTTTTCTATTATTTATTTTCTTCAGATGAAAAAGAAAAATAAGGAGATGCGATTGGTAGAACACTTTGCCTATCGGACTGTCGTTTCGCCTCCTCAATCGAACGCATCCTCGGAGACAGTAGTAGATAAGAATGATGAAGGAAGAAAAGGGCACGGCTGCCATACCACCGCATGCCCACTGTATTTACCGGTACCTAAATGGATGAGCGGGAGTTTCATTCGATGAGGTTAATACTTCAAAGTTCGAGCCGAAGTCCTTAATTTTAATTGCTTGACTCATGCTTGTCAATTCTTGTGATAAGTATTACTCGAAAATTTGGGTTTGTGTTACCGGCAATTCGTTCAAAGGATTTTCTGTTGCGAGTAACTTAAGTGTGCAGGTCCTCCTGAAAAGACGTTCCCTAAACACTTTCGAGTGTAGAACATGGAGTAAACAGCATATGACATGAGAGTTTATATTGGCTAGACGCATTTTACTCTGAACAGAAATCTAATAAAACAGCCTATTAGCCCGCGCCTTTTGTGTGTCTAGAGGTGTGCGATAAGGATAGCTTTAGGACATCATCGACCCCTTGTTTATTTTCTATAACTGCCTTCTTATTTCGTAGCTAGCATGTGTCTTGCATATTTGTCGTCGGTCGTTTTACTCACCACAAATGTTCAACATAGTCCTTCCACATATCAGATTACACCCTCCTCGGAACTCTTTAGTGACATAAAATTAGTTTTTTTAGGCTAGGCTGTGGTACACACCACAAGAGTACGACAAAGTTCATCCACATATTGAATTGAACACCCACAAAAAGCTGCAGTGACAGAAAGGCAGAAAAGTATAGAATTACAGTGACAAAAAACACATTTTTATATCACGTTACAGTGAGGTTTTTATCGCATTTTATATTCATACTATACTATAAACACTATACACAGTCTTCTAACCTTTACTTTACTACAACACTGAGTACAGACTGACATACAGGCTGACATACAGAACTCAACCCGCTGACCGCGAGAACATCCCCCCTGTCTC